TTAATTAATATTTTAAATTACAATTTAAAGAAGCCAAGAAGTAAAGATTTCTGTTTACATTTTGCAAGTTATCCAAATTGAATTTAACTCACAGAAAACTTAGATGACAGTAATGTCAACATTTTATCTTGTATAAGCATTTAATTACAGAATGTAACCAACTGATCATGTCACCATATATTAAATATTTTAAATTTCATAACAGTAATTAACACATAGAAATGTTTTAATTATCCATTTTTTTGACACTGGATTTTTTTTTAATCCATTTGGTTTAATTATGGGGGATGTTCAACAAAAGTGAAATTTTGAAAAATTCTTTTATATTATCCTTTCTGACCTTGAGATGGAAAGTAGAGTTGGTGTTACCAAGGAAAGTGACCAAAACCTTTCTTTCATATAATGAAGGATTTCTATGTCATTTTAAAGGAAGGTATTAAGTATCCAGATTGTACTCTGCTTTGCTGCCTCTGGTTTAACTGAAGGTCATTCCTGGTTTCAGAGATTAAAATCTGGGCAAAGCAGCTTCTCGGTGTTGGGAAGAGCTGCTGTGAACGTTTTAAAACCTGGAAGAGAATGCCACACTAATCTCCTTATCAGCATCTTCACTTGGCCAAGAGGGTAAATTATATGTGCTACTTCCTATACTACTATCTAACATGAAATATGAGACCAAAAATGAATAGATCTCATCTTATGACCACTTGGATTCAACATGCAGATTTATGCACAGTGACATGTAAATTACAGTGCTCAGTATATCTTTGAAAATCTAATTATAATATATGATGTTTTAGCCTAGCAATAAAAAGAAGGGAAAGCTGATCTGTAGATTTCCTTGGCATATATAACCAAATTTCTACCCCAGGATACATACTTAGAGGGTAATTATTTCTTGGTAATTTTAATTTTCGATTATTTTCTAGACTTTAGACATATTAACCAGTTGTTAGCCAAGTTGTAAATGTGGAGCTGTTTTTATTCCTACTCTTTCTTCTCTTTGAATGCTTCTTCTAAGAATCCTATTACCACCCTACAATCTGTTTACATTTCACTTTCTCAGTGAACCTTCCTGGACCAACATCAATCAGGTCCTCCCCTATTATTCTATATCTCAATGGCATGGTTATTTTTTTTTACAACACTTTGTATTCTCAACTAGTCTAAAATCTTAATTATGAGTACCATCATCATGAGCCCAGTTACCATCAACCTGCATCTCCTCTCCTGCCAGTCTTTCCTCACACTAGCTTCCTGGATGTTCCCCGCATGCCCATGTGAGTTCATTTTGAGCACATTTCCCCAAACATCTGCAAAGTTTGCTTCCTCATTCTTTCAAGGCTCTTCTCAAATGTCACCAACTCAATAGAACCTTCCTTGATGACTACATCTAAAACAGCAGCCCCCACCATTCTCCTTTACCCAGTTTTCTTCTTTCTCCCCAGCACTTATAATCATCTTTGAATGTGTTCTTCACCATTAGATTTTATCTGTTTTGTTCATTAGCACCACCGCATCCATTAAAACGATATTTGGCAGAAGTCTGGCACTCGTTACTTATTTGTTAAGTTAGTTAATAATATCTTATTGTTATCTGTCTTCCCCACTAGACTCTTAAAGCAAGAAACTTCATTTCTGGTATTCCCATAGTACCTTGCATTTAATAGATGATAAATGAATAGTGAATGCATGGACTGGGACCAGAGGGAAAAGGAACCTACCCTGGTCAGAGCCAGTCTAATCCAACAACTTAGTAGCAAATGGAAAAGAGTTTGGAATACACTTAGAGCCATGAATGCCCTAAATCACCTGTTTAGCCTTTTGGAGCCAAGTCTAGACCAGGTCTCTCTGCTTCCCAGAGGGGATCCAAGGAGCAAGATGCAGACTTCCGAGTTTCCTACTTTAAGATGATATCTTCTGAATTCTAGGAGGACTTAATCTTAATTTTGATCCATAGTTTTGATTTGTTTGTTTAGACCTTGCCCTGAAGATTTCACGTGTTTATGATTCTACTTTAGGTTACCAAAGGATTCGGAACAAGAAAAAATATATTTTATCTTAAATCCAACTATGTGATAGAGTAATTTTGAAAACATCTTGTCATCATTGTTTTATGTTCTCCATTTGTAAAATGAAGATACTGGAGAAGAATCAGCAGCTGTAAAATTGTAGATTGTTTTCAGACTCACCTAGATGCCCTGGGGAGACTTTGTGAAGCACCTTCTTCCCTTCCTTCCCTATGCCCACCTATCATAAGTCTTGGTTAAAAAACATAGCCTTGGTGAGCTACTATTATTGCTGAGAATCTATTGCGTGCATAGAGGAAAAGAGCAGTTAAAAACCATTGATCTGTGTTATCTTTATCAGCCAAAATCAGACTCTATGAACTATACCTCAGTTCACCACTAAATCCCTATATTTAACAGTGCTTGACTTACTGCTGTCTTTTGTTTATTTGTACAAACAGACCTTTTTTTTTTTTTTTATCCTACCATGTCAGGGATGATGACAGGCATTGAGAATTCAAAGATGAATTCGGAAATGAACTCTTCCCTTGAGGAGCTCCACCCACTGGGGAGACAAATGCAATAAGAGTGTGATAAAAGCTTCCATGAAACCAAAGCAGTGGGGAAATTTAGAGCACTTCAAAGGGTACCAAAGCAGCCGGGGAGAGGAATGATTTGGAAAATCTCCCAGTAGGTGACCAAACAGAGTCTTAACTTTAATTAGCTGAATTATAGACTGCTAAAGCTGCACAGTGTCAGAATCATTTAGTCTAAACTCCTGATGTGGCACAGAGGGAAACTGATGTCTAAAGAGGTTAACTGATTCATCCAAAGTTGAGTACCAGATTTGCAACTGGGAACTAAACAAGTAGTATTGGGCTGCTTCTTTTAACACACACTTTCCAAAAGGGAAAGTTCTTGGATCCTTTATTCCATGACTTTAATGATGAAATGAATCAATTAATTGATCATTAATGTATTATCATGAAATGATAGAAAAATACTTGTTTATATTGAACATGTGCAGCAGTGATAACAATAGCCCATCATTCCTAGTAGGTTACATATCCTGTGGACTGCTGGTGATTGTATTCAGATCTAGGCATAATCTAACCCAGTTCCTTTCTGAGCTCATGCATGGACCCAATCACACCAAGAAGAACAGGTACAGTTTGAACATGAACAAGAACAAACTTTAGAATAAATCCATATCTGTTCAGTACCACTTCTTAGTACATGCTGAGGCATGTAAAGACTAAGATAAATCCTCCAGAAGTGAAATATCTTTATTATTAGTAGTAAAAAGTGGATATAAAATTGCTCAGGAATAAAATCTTTGTGGAGAGTCTGATCCAAAGGTAGTTGTTTTACTTAGAATGTTTAATGACTGTAATTTAGTAATGGGACAATATAAGCGCCCATCACATTAAAATAGAAATACTTGGGAAATCCACAGTTTCTAATAGCTTGCCATCTGGCTCTTACTGGCAATGGATCTATCCTGCTTAGTGCAGAGGATGATATTGGGGCTGAAATCATGGATTATACAATGGATTTCTGAGCTCTTAACTATTTCTAATTTGTTACGTTGTAAATCAACATTTTCCAACATAAAATCAATCTTTTATCATTTAAAATAAATTTTTAAACTCTTATCCCAAATAAGGTTGCTATGGGTACCACATAACATCTGGCGCCGGCTGACTGAGTTAAAGACATCCACTATCTCTCCAAATTAAAAACCTCAAACTGAGTTCACTGACTTTTGCATTGTACTCATTGCAAATATGCTCTTTTGCTTTGCCCCACTGTCCAGTTTTATCCGCTAGAAAGAAAAATTTTAGAGGGCCATAGACTAAATCATTTGCCTCTGAACACATCATTTCCAAATGGCCGCCCCGGGTCCTAAATCCGGCCGCTGCGGACAGGGACTAGCCGGTGCCCTCTCTCTGCAGAGCCGTGGGACTCAGCGCCTTCATAACTGGACGTCGCAAGCCAGAAAGGAAACGCGATCACATAGGTACAGGTATAAGCCCGCATGGGTGCACCAGAGAGGCCCTGATCGCAGCGGATCACCCATCCCTGGGCTGGCGGAGGTCTTGGGGAGGAAACCAACACTGTTTCCCCATTTAAGTCAGAGGGCAGAAAGCTTGGGGTCGCAGGTCAGAAGTTAAAATTTAACCCAACCTGTGCTTTGTCCTCGTGCCTAGGGACACCGCGGCTGCACCTAGCTGGGCAAGAACAAGGTTGGCTGGGATGTGAGAAACAGAGTTGCTACCACTCTGGAGCTGCAGGAGGAGAGAGCAACGCGACCCCCAGCGCAGTCCGGACGCGAGGCTGGGAAGAGCGGGGCTCTGCTGCCGCGATGCGGCGTCAGGACCCGGGCACTGCTGCCCGCACTCCGCGTTGCCCTTTCAGCAGAGGGCAGCTCCCTGCCGCGGCAGCACAGTCGCTGGGCGCTTGGCCACCCCACAGGAGCGCCCTGACCGCCCCTGGGCGGCCTCCTGGGCACCAGTCACTGGACCAACCCTAGTCCTCCTACGCAGGGACAAACTTCCTTTCTCTTGGGCCGCCTGACCGTGCAGGTTGGCAGGCGACTCCCTTGCCAGTCTTTCTGCTCCCGGGCCGGGCGAGCTTCCTCTCTGCCCCTCTCCAACCCCAAGCCCCGGGCGCCTAGCGGTCCCCGCTCATCCTCTCCAACAAAGCCCGCGGCCGGGAGGCGACCCAGTGAGGGGCTGGGAGTGGCGGCAGGGGCTCCAGAACCGGACCAGCACCCCTCGCCCGGGCGAGTACAGCGCGAAGGGGCAGCAGGGACAAGGCGGGGAGAAAAAGGGGAAGAAAGTATCCAGCTCTAGGCGCGAATGCCTTCTTGGGTGTCCTCGCTCTTCCTGCTCGCCCTGCCCGAGCGCGTCCTGCTGTCCCGGTGGGAGTTGTCAGGGGCAGAGGCGGCAGCAGAGGGGGCGCAGTGGCCTGGCGGGCGAGCCGCTCCCTTACCTCTGTCCAGAGTAAGCGGCTGGACCACTGTCAATGTCGCCATGTCTGCCGTGGGAGCCGAAGTGACGCTCAGCTTCAGCATCAGCAACCGCTTGTAGTGAGAAAAAGAGGAGGAGATTGGGGGCGGGGGTGGAGAGGGAAGACGGAAAGGAGGGGGAGGAGGGGGAAGGCAGGAAGGTGGTGGTGGAGGAGGAGAAGAAAGCTCGGGTGGGTTGGCAGCCAGATGGAGACGCAACTGTTCCGTGGCAGCAGATCTTCAGACGCGGCGCTTAGTGGAGCAGGTATCCGAGAGCGACTGCATGGCCAGGCTCTGGGAAGGAAGGCTCTGCCCTAGAACTTTGCTCTTCCACCCCTAGGAGCGCTGAGTGGGTGTAGCTGTGTGGCTTTCTTTGAACTTTCCACTCAAATGGTCAGAATATACGTGCTTGGGGAAGAGGGGATGGAAACACGGGATATGGGAGAGGGAGGTGGGGAGATGGGTTTTTCCCCCCCAGATCAAGAGAGTCAGCCCAGCAATCCCATTTGCTTTAGAGAGAAACTGCTTCTAGTGCCAGAAATGTTGGGATCTAATTGTAGTTGCTGTTAATTTCTGTTAAAGTTTTTTGGAATGTTGACATATAACAGTACACAAGATAACTGACGTAGTGCCAGAATTCCTTCAATAGGACTTGGGTATATTGCCCAGAAAATAACTTGCTTTAAAAACCAAACTTGTTAAAAATGCTTTTTAATAATAATAATAATAATAGATCCGTTTCTATCATTAAGTTTGAAAAATATTTATCTTGCACACTTTCACGGCTGTCTGTAACCGGCCTTTATTCAGAGGTGTCACTTATTGATGAATTAATGTGTGCCAGGAATTGAGTCAGGAGTGCTACATGCCAGGTGCCATACTCTGCAGATTGTGATTTAGTAGGTGATGTTATTAAAATGTCTACTTTAAAGTCAGTTCTTCAGGGTTCAGTTACTGGAGTCTACAAATACTGGCCATGGTTCCTTTCCCTGTCGGACAGTTGGCTTTCACTGGCTCACCACAGTAGGGACTTGTATTTTCTGATTGGTGTGAACATACTTTATATACAGAGATATGAAAAATTGTGCTCTAAATGTGTAATAAGAATTGTAATGCATTCCACTGTTGTCGTGTATTTAAAAAATAATAATAATAACCTAGTAAGACACTGAAAAAATAAATTAAAAAAAGAATTTAAGAAGCATAGAGAAATTTTCTGTAATTTAATGGGATGACCATGGGTGCAGGATTGGAAATAACAAATGGCCTCCATCCCCTTTCCTGTGATAGAGCTGAGTTTTTTTTGGCTAGCAACAAACTTTTAAAAGTAGACACTGTTTTGCAGCAAAATATTTGCATATAATCAATGTCATTTTATTCTAATTATAATATTGATTATGTCTGAAGGTCTTTTCCATTTTATGGTAAACGGAAGAGAGAAAAAAAGAAGCACATTTCACCAATGATTGAGAAAGTCAAAGATGATTGACTATCCATATATTTAAGAGACTCTAAAGACACTCAGGAATAGCTCAATAGGCCTATCTTCTTTTTATTAGTTGTTCAAAACATTACATAGCTCTTGACATATCATATTTCATACATTTGATTCAAGTGGGTTATGAACTCCCATTTTCCCCCCATATACAGATTGCAGAATCACATCAGTTACACATCCACGTTTTTACATACTGCCATACTATTGTCTGCCTATCTTTTAATTGTTTTAGAGAGAACACTGATCTTGAAATTCAAGTCTTAGTTATGTGGTTTGCAGAAGACCCATCTCTCACTGATACTGTTTCCTCATCTGGCACACAGGGTAATTATATCATTCAATCTCTTAGACACTGTACAATGGGAGGAAACAAATTCTACCCTGCAATTTCACTGAGTTTGCTGCAGGATCTGATGGGATTATATACATTTTGAAAATATTAAAGAATATACAAATTTATTTGTATATACATATAATATACAAGCACATAAGTCCCCTAACAGTGTGGCAAACTCTGTGCTAGGCACTGGCCACAACTATAGAACGAAGTTGAATTTTGCACGAAGATATTGGAGAGTATTCCAAAGTTTTGCATGAAATGTTAAAGCTCATTCAATAACTTCTATGAAAAGAACACACAAATACCTTGGCCACTGATGTATTTCTTTAAAAACATACTTTATTAGTAGCTTGATTCATAAATCTAAACATCATAATTGTACCTATTTCAACACAGATCTCAGATTGTGAGATTATGAAAGCAATATTTTTGACTTTGTTTTCTAATGGATTCCCAGCCCCTGATATTTCATAGCATGTTTCTTATGTCTTGAGCTACCTAATTGAAAATTTGTTCTATCATTCTTCCTTTGTGTTGACTCTGTAGGTCTTTCTTCCCTTTAAGGATTAAAAGGGAAGTTAAGGGGAAGCACAAATCACTGTACATTTACCTGTTATTACTTCTAGTTGTAGCAATTTCAATATATTTAATATATGTCTACACAAATATAGAAAATGATCAGTAAATAATTGCTAGTTGGAGTTCTTTTCATTAAGTATGAATAACACTATTTCTCCAGTAATTTGTGAATTCCTTTTTGAGACATTCAGATGTACAAGGAAATTTTCTTAATCTCTTGTTTTGCTTGGGAGATGTGCCCATGCTTAAATATCATGAATAAATGCCTGATCACTCATATATCCACCATAAGGTTTCAGCAAGGTGAATCTACTTGAACTAGTCACACACTGGTTGCTTCGTTGTGTGTTGATTAGACAGTTGTTAAAATATCTGTAACTATGTAGCTATTTGGTTAAATAATCTCCATGCTCTCTTATTAAAGGTTATGTAGTAGTTTACATCAGAGATAACTGTATTTTCAATGGAATTAATTATTCCATAAATACTAAGTGCCTTATATATTTCAGGTTTGATCCTTGATTAGCCTTTTTCACCCTTTCTTTCCAGGCTAGAAAAGTATGTATTCTTATTGTATTTTGGAGAAAAGTAAACTGAGGCTCAGAGAGGATAAGCAAAGTACTTACAAAGAGTAGAAACTGAGCTGGGTGCAGTGATACACTCCTGTAATCCCCTTGTCTTGGGAGGCTGAGGTAGGAGGATCACAAGTTCAGAGCCAGCCTCAGCAACTTATCTAGGCCCTAAGCAACTCAGTAAGACCCTGTCTGTAAATAAAATTTTAAAAATGGGCTGGGGATATGGCTCAGTTTTTTAAGTGCCCCTGAGTTCAATCCCCAGTATCTCCCCCAAATAGCAGAAAGTGGATACAAGAATTTCTGTGCTTTCCAATAATATATAAAGATGTATGTATGTATATACATGCAGATACATAAATATATGTGTTTATATGTACATATACACATATGCTCACATGGTTACTTATCCCTTTTCTTTCTTGCTGTATTTGAGATATACCCAAAGAGAGGAATGCATGAAGGAAAGCTAGGTCAAAGGACAAAATAACTGATTCCAACCTATATAAATATAAGTTAATATTAAAAACAACTACTTTGGAATATAAAATCTGTTCTCATTAGACAATTCATTCAAAGCTGGTTAAGGTCTGTTTCACTTAATTGAAACTTTTAAAATTCTGTGACAAAATCACGAGAGGGTTTGCATAATGCATTAGCATACCAGGAAAATGTGTTTTGTTAGATTATAAATGTCGTATAATAAGCAACATTTTACATGAGAAAATTGCACCTTCATGCTGGAATTCTTTGAGCCTGGGTGTTAAAATTTTTTTGAATGATTCAAGATATCACATTATCTCTTAATTCATACAACTTTGTCAAAATAGCACAAGATTAAGAGGAAGTGCCAACCTATACTTTAAAATATAAATGTTTATGTTTTAAAATTCATCATAAATAGAGCATCTTACTATAATCCTTAGATTTGTTTTGATAAGTACCTTTGTCTGTTGATTCAGTAGATTCTTAGTATACTTACTCCATGCCAAGTATTATTCTAGGCATTGAGATATTGAAGTGAATAAAAAGAAATCTCTGTACTTATACAAGACAGAAGGAAAATAAACAACAAACAACAAAATATAATTAGTGAATAAGTACTGCACAAAAAGTGAATAAGTCGACTATTAAGTAAAATATAGTCAGCAATTACAGAAGACAGAGATAGGAAGAAAGGCATTCTTAGGAGTGGATGAACAAAGCCAAGATTCTTGGAAGAAGAGACACAATCAGTAGTTGAATGTGGACTGTCAGAAAAAATAAATGAGCCTAAGGAGGGCCATTGAGAGTCAGGTGGTGGAAGATAATATAATTAACAGAGATCTAATGAATCTTTTAAGAATTACTTTGTGCCCATCATAAAACAAAATGTATAAATTTAATCCATGCTAAGAAAAAATGTGCTGTAGCATCTGTGTTAAAAATTACTAATATAGAAGCAAATGTAGAGTTACTAATTTAGAGTTCCATGTTAGAAAACTAAAGATGAAAATATTAAAAGTCAATTCTAATTAATTTTCATTTTCTTCAAAAAAGTAAAAACTTTGAAAAGAGGAAAGCTGAATCTGAATAATTATTCTTCAGTTGTAGGGTCTTATTTACATTATCTTACATTGCCAATGATCATGCAAATCATAACAGTAGTAATTTTTATTCTAATTCTGCCATAGGCAATAACATATAATTCATAAGTGCAAAGACTTCTTTGCTTCTTGATTGTTTTATTTAAACTTATTTAGCTCATGAAATACAAAATGATATTTTCTTTTGTTTAAAAGTGGACATTTTTTTTCTATTTTCACTGTTGGAAGTTATGATTAATCTTTCAGTGATAAAACTTTAAATTCAAAGCTTATAATCTTTTTTCTTTTTTCTTTATGCTTTTCAACCTCACTTCCACCCAAACTCATATTTACATCTCTAAGGAAAACCTATGAGATAAAAAAGATACAAGACAAATTTTTGAAAGTGATACATGAGTCGTCTCTTGTCACATTTTCCCAGGAGATTATTTTCAAATTATTAGAACACATACCACAGAACAATTTAAAACAATATTTTTATTATAATTTTCACCTTAAAATTTTTATATATTTAAGTCGAAAGTTATACTTTCATCCACTGAATGTTTATTAAGCACCTGCTGTATGCCAGGCACTGTTCTCTGCCTGGAGATTAGTTTTGATAGAAAATAAATATAATCAACAAATCAATCTTAAGTAATGAGGAGCACAAACATTAGTAGCTTTGGTGTTCCAAAGCCTGTTCACA